ATTAATACATGGTTTTTCGTTGGAGGAGCCCGATTATTAACACGCAGCTCCAAAACGGCTCACTTTCAGATGCCCTGAAGCCCAAACTGCGCTGTGAGGGAGCAGAATATAGCTAGTGTGGGCTTGATATAATAGCACGGCTGGATTAGTCATATTGTGCAACCGAGCTGCCCTCGGCTCTGTTTATTCTGATGATGTCACGTCTTTGGGCGGGAGAAGTGTGGGGGGGGGGCACTTTTGGCCGAGAACACCAGCACATTCACTTTTTCCAGCTTGAGGCTGAACGCAGTGTGCCAGACTGCCCGTTGGTTGTGGTTGTGATGTCACAACATGTGGATGTTTGGTTGCTCCTGAATGACAGTTCGCAAACTGAGGTTTACATCAGGGCAATATGACAATATATATCGCTATAGTGATAAATTATGTCACAATACACATATATCGTATATCATCAGTGCTTCTAGACACTGACCAACTGCAAAATTAGTCCTGTTTAACCGAATTTAGTGCCAAGTATTGGATAAAAATCACAATTTGACAGTATTATTTTAAATGTAGCACTGCTGGCTCTTTTTTCTCTGTTCCAACTGTCTAGATGTCTGAAAACACAGACACAGTGTGATATCGTGTGTTGTGAAAATTTCTTGAAATATCGTGATATTACATTTTTGCTGTATCACCCAGCTCTACTCTTAAAGAAGGCGGTTCTTTAGAAAAGAAAATGCTTCTATACAGAACCATGAAGACTCAAAGAACCATAGCATGCAGGGTTCTTCAGACTGATGGAAGCCGTGTTGTCCGTGTTCGTGTTCTATATATAGAACCTTATGAAAAGGGTTCTTCTACTGTTACAAGCTTGAACAGCAGAACCCTTTTGGTGCTGTATAGAACCATCAATCTGATAAACACTTTCATGATGCCTAACCCTTTATTCATGCAAAGGGTTCTTTGAGTCTTCATGGTTCTATATAGAAACATTTTCTTTACTAAAGAACCATCTTGAAGAACCATCTTTCTTAACATTGAAGAACACCAGCATATCCACGTTTTCCGGCTTTGAATGCTGCCGGTTAGCTGTGGTTGTGATGTCACAGCACATGCGTGTTTGACTGTTTCTGATTGGTCTACTTCATTTACAGGCTGTTCACAAACTCTGCGCTATTATGTTAAAGAGGAACATCACTGTTTTTTCAACATTTCTGCACAATTTAATGGCTGAGATCTGAACAGTCATTGATCTGAAATGGTTTGTTGTAGAGAAAACTGAAAAAAGAATGCTTAAGGAACCATTCTGCCGAAGGGGTGGGCAACGTGGCGATATTTTATCAATATCGTGACAATTTATTACGCATTACACTTTTTTCAACATAACAAGTACACTGTCAGTACTTGTAGACGCTGATCAACTGCATTTTCATTATAAAGAGAGCAACATTAATCCTGTTTAACTACATTTAGTGCAGTGAATGTTGGAAAAGCATTGAAAATCATTGCAATTGTAGATTATTATTATTATTATTATTATTATTATTATTATCATGTGGCACTACAGGTTCTATTTTGTCTGTTCCAACTTATTAAATCTCAGATAAACTAAGTATTGTGTATTGTGATAATGTCTAGAAGCATCGCAATACAATATTTTTGCCATATCGCCCACACCCCTAGGTGGACGTCTGGTTCCTATCACTGCCATTGTTGATAACTTGCAGGGTAAGTTTCTCTAGAACGGAGTGTTTCACACCAAGCCACTCTGAACGACTCTGTTTACATCTTAACCAATTAATTATGCAGAGATTTTTAAAAATGGATTGAATTATCCTTTAAACTGCCACACTTATAACTTGCTAAGATGATGATAATTGAAGGCTCAGACAAATCGAAAACTGCAGCTTTAATATGAAAATGATTTCAGCAGCACAGAATGAGTAAATCTAAGAGCTCTGATTCATTACACCTTTCCACACAGCTTTAGGGTGGAAAATCCCCAACAAACAGGGCGGCACTTCAGGCCAAAGTTAGACGCAGTGATGACTGACGTGCTGGAGGCGACTAAACGCTGAGCTGTCAGTCTTTTGCATATTACCGATGCTGAAGGGGGTATTTTAGTTCTGAGTGCACAAACGTGGCGTTCGGGATTCACTTTCATTTTAAATGAGAAACGAGCTGCCACACCTGCACTTAGCAGCCCGGCTGAGTGGCTGGATGGGTGTGGACCGAGCGGAGCTCACTGATACGTTAACCTTCTTCATATTTTAATCAGTTTGACCTGTTTACCTACTGAAACCCACTTCCACCCCCGGAGGAAAACATACAGCCATTTAGTACATCATAATAGTGAGAAAGTTTTACACGATTATGACTCAGTATCTCATGATCATGACTTGCTATCTCATAATAAAATACGATATAAAAACATAATAACTTATTATGTCACAATTGTGACTTAGTATTTCATAATTGTGACTTTCTCATAATAATAAGACTCAATGACTTAGTATTTCATAATGACTTACTATGTCATAATTCTGACTTTGCATATCATAATTTTATGACTTAGTATCTCATAATAATGAGATTCAATCTCATAATGACTTAATATTTCACAGTAATGACTTACTATGTCATTATTATGACTTAGCATATCATAATCATGACTTAGTACCTCATAATAATGACTTACTATGTCATAATTGTGACTTAACACCTCATAAGTATGACTTTGCACCTCATAAGATTCAGTTTCATAAGCATGACTTAATATCTCTAAGTGACTACTTGCTTTCTCATAATATTGAGATTCAATCTCATAATTATGACTTGATATTTCATAGTAACAACTTACTATGTCATAATTAAGACTTAAAACCTCATAATCATGACTTATTTTCCCCCAATAATGACTTACTTTCTCATAATAATAAGATTATATTAGTATCTCATAATTATGACTTGGTAACTCTTAAGTACGACTTACTTTCTCATTATGATGATTTACAATCTCATAGCTACGACTCAATGACTTAGCGTCTAATAATAATGACTTTGTTTCTTGTAATTATGACTTTGCATCTCATAATGATGATATACTTGGTATCACATAATAACACAATATTTCATACTGAAGACTTACTATCTCATAGTTATGACTCAATATCTCAATTATGACTTACTATCTCAAGTATGACTTAGGGTCTAACAATAATGACTTACTTTCTTGTAATTATGACTTCGTATCTCATAAATATGACTTGCTATCTCATAATAATGATGATAAACTTAGTATCACATAATAATGACTTAATATATCATACTGAAGACTTAGTATCTCATAGTTACGACTCAATATCTCATAATTATCACCTAGTATCTCAAGTATGACTTAGCGTCTAATAATAATGACTTATTTTCTTATAATTATGACTTTGTATCTCATAAATGACTTGCTATCTCATAATAATGATGATAAACCTAGTATCACATAATAATGACATTTCATATTGAAGACTTACTATCTCATAGTTACGACTCAATATTTCATGATTATGACTTAGTATCTCAAGTATGACTTAGCGTCTAACAATAATGACTTACTTTCTTGTAATTATGACTTCGCATCTCATAAATGACTTGCTATCTCATAATAATGATGATAAACTTAGTATCACATAATAATGACTTAGTATTTCATACTGAAGACTTACTATCTCATCGTTACGACTCCATATCACATAATTATGACTTAGTATCTCAGGTATGACTTAGCGTCTAATAATAATGACTTACTTTCTTGTAATTATGACTTCGCATCTCATAATAATGATGATATACTTAGTATCACAAAATAACACTTAATATTTCATACTGAAGACTTACTATCTCATAGTTAGGACTCAGTATCTCATAATTATGACTTATTATCTCAAGTATGACTTCGCGTCTAATAATAATGACTTACTTTCTTGTAATTATGACTTCGTATCTCATAAATATGACTTGTTATCTCATAATAATGACTGTCATAACTGACTTGGTATCTCATAACTGATTTATTAAGTAATTAGTACGAGATATTAGGTCACAATTACGACATACTAAGTAGAATCTAAGTAAATACGGAGCACTTATTATTATTATGACTTACTAAATAGCTATATATTTTCTCCTGTGGAGGAAAGGAGCATCCACAGGTTTACAGCAGCGCTCGGTCAGATACTGAAGGCTGGAGCTCGGACAGTGATGTACTGACCGCTGATCTGCTCGGAGGAAAGAGAGAAATTAAACTTTTTTAGCCACCCTGGTGGGGAAAGCGGAGTTCTAGCTTTCAATTTCCTGACAGACAAGTGAACAGAAAAAGCAGCGCTTTCAGTTTTGGTTCTGAGGCGAACACGATGCTAAGCGCTACGTTAGCAGCGATGTCGTTAGCTATCGTTAGCTAACGCGGCTAACGCCGCGGCGACCGGCCAATCCTTCAACCCGCTGGATTTTAAACTGCCGCCGGGTTTTGGGGGGGCTGTAGCCGGCTTTCACCCCCCGTGTCCTTTCAGGCTTGGCTCCACCTCACACCATTACAACGGCTTCTTATTCGCCCGCGTCCTGTTCGAATTTTCCCGTTCCACCTTAAATGGTGCAGCAGTTACATTAGGGCGCCCGAGGCGCCCTAATGTAACTGCTGCACCATTTAAGGTGGAACGGGAAAATTCGAACAAGACGCGGGCGAATAGGAAACCAACTTCAGCCTCGTCGCAATTCAGCGACCCTGCTTTTAATACCAGAGCGGTTCTGACTAAAAATGTGAGCTGAAATACAAAAATATGGGCTTTAAAATCTTTCAAACTGACCTGCCATCCCTGCCCGGCCTACACCGCTCAACGTGACGGCCTCGGAGGATGAAACCACCTTGCCCGCTTCATCATTCACTCACCGGCCGACCGAGAGAGCAGCCGCCCAGCCCGGAGCGCCGAAACCCGCCGAGCAGAAACGAACCGAGGCTCACTCACCTTGTAGGAGTCGGTGGCTAACAATATGTTGAAGTCTCTGCTCTCCATCTTCCCTTTACACTGGAGTCTCCGCCGTTGTCTCTCTCTCTCTCTCTCCCTCTCTGTATCACTGAGTCTCTCTCTCTCTCTCTCTCTCTCACTCTCTCGCTCTCTCTCTCTCTCTCCCTCTGTGTGTCTGGGTCTCTCTCCCTCTGACTCTCTCCGCGGGGAAACTCACAACCAAGCACGTAGTTACTGAAGGCCGAGCGCACGCGAGTGGGGGGGCGGGGCCAGATCGGGTTGCCCGCTCTATGATTGGGCGGCTTTCTGGTGACGTCGACGCGCGGGGCGGGGCAAAAAGGGGCCCAGGGCGGGACGGCTTCGATACTCGGGAGAGCTGTCAGGTGCCTCTCTGTCCACCTTAAATACACCGGTCAGGTATAACATTATGACCACCTTATCAGCTCCACTTACTATATAGGTGCACTTTGTAGTTCTACAGTTACAGACTGTAGTCCATCTGTTTCTCTGATACTTTGTTACCCTGTTCTTCAGTGGTCAGGACCCCCATGGACCCTCATAGAGCAGGTACTATTTGGGTGGTGGGTCATTCTCAGCACTGCAGTAACACTGACGTGGTGGTGGTGTGTTAGTGTGTGTTGCGCTGGTCTGAGTGGATCAGACACAGCAGTGCTGCTGGAGTTTTTAAACACCTCAGTGTCGCTGCTGGACTGAGAATAGTCCACCAACCAAAAATATCCAGCCAACAGTGTCCTGTGGGCAGCGTCCTGTGACCACTGATGAAGGACTAGAGGATGACCAACACAAACTGTGCAGCAGCAGATGAGCTATCGTCTCTGACTTTACATCTACAAGGTGGGCCGACAAGGTAGGAGTGTCTAATAGAGTGGACAGTGAGTGGACACAGTGTTTAAAAACTCCAGCAGCACTGCTGTGTCTGATCCACTCAGACCAGCACAACACACACTAGCACACCACCACCACGTCAGTGTTACTGCAGTGCTGAGAATGATCCACCACCCAAATAGTACCTGTTCTGTGAGGGTCCGTAGGGGTCCTGACCACTGAAGAACAGGGTAAAAGGGGGCTAACAAAGTATCAGAGAAACAGATGGACTACAGTCTGTAACTGTAGAACTACAAAGTGCACCTATATAGTAAGTGGAGCTGATAAGGTGGACAATGAGCGTAGAAACAAGGAGGTGGACTTAATGTTATGCCAGATCGGTGTATGTATATATGTATACATATAAAATGTATATGTATAAAAATAAAATAATTGAATGAATGAATGAATGAATAAATGCACACACATCTTCAAAGCCACTTATCCTATGCATGCATACGCATATATAAATATATACCTAAATATATATATATATATATATAAATACAAAAAAGTGGAAAAAATAGCCATCAGGTGCCTTTCTGTCCACCTTAAAAAACTATATATATATGTATATATATATATATATATATATATATATATATATATATATATATATATATATGCATACATACATAAATATATATATATATACATGTATATGTATGTGCATACTATATATGTATATATATATATATGTATATATATATATATATATATACATATATATATATGTATATATATATATATGTATATATGTATATATATATATATATATATATATACATATATATATATATATATATATAAAATCAGTGGGTTCATGGTCTAAATAGTCTCAACTGAATAGTGACCCCTGCAGGACAGACACATTTACAACGCCAATTCATCACTTACAAAATTCAATAAAAATACAGAAAATAAAATATAAGTAAGAATTTTCATATATTACATGCTTCCCCTTATTAGGCTGTAGGAACCTGATCTTAAGGCCTTATTCTCAACACAGACTGTGATGAGCTCCCACTTCGTGAGAGTGGATCACTAGTGAAAGTGATCAGCCTGGTTTGTGGAATGAAATGCTGCAAGTGGAGCTTCTTTCAAAAGTGACTCTCCGACATGCCACTGAGATGGAAATCTGAAAGTGTTTCAGTTAAAGGGCCGGTACCACGGAAAACTGAATTTTCCTTTTTTTTTCCCTTTTTTTCCCTCTTCATTATTATTATTATTATTTTTAACAAAACAGTCTGTCATAGTGTGTAAATACGGTTAGCAGCACGGTTTGTGTACACTGTATCTGTGACCTCACAAAAACACATTTACACATGCATTGTTTACAGTGCACTAATGTAAGTACTTATTAAAATGCAGTTCTGCTGTGTTCAGTTCTGTGTCTTTCTGTCTAGTTATCAGCTCTGGCTTTTGTTTTCTGGCAGTGTTTGAGCTCTGAGTGCAGTTTGGACCTGTTTGTGACAACAAAGCACTTCTGTAAGTTGCTCTAGAGTTTTCAGATTTACAGATCTGCTGCAGCTCATTGTAAAGTTTTTCAGAGGAATCCGGGCAGAGTTACAGTTTCTAGGCTACGAAGGACCAACTGGGTGAACCAGTCTGCTACAGCGCCACCCTGAGGCAGAGCAGTGCTGCAGCTCTAGTTAGTTAAGAACACCAGAGACAGAAGCTGATTGTGGGAGAAGCAGATAAGCAATAACAGCATAATATAATAAGTTTATTTTTAGGGATCCTTCAGAATTTTGATTGAGACATTCAGGAGGTCCAAGGGGTTAATCAGGGGGCCCCAGACCCCCCAGGACCCCCTGTATTTCGCACCTTGAGCTTACCGCAGTTTAGCTCCGCTCCACTCATGCTGAATTAAGTTATAAGAAGTTATAAGTTATGAGAAGATGTGTTATCAATACAAGACAGCCAATCAGAACAAAGCTCATTTACATACACCATTTTTAAAGGCCCATTAAGAATTGTAAGAGAGGTTGGAAAAATGCAGAAAGGAATTTTGGCTATTTTTGGTACCAGAACCACACAAATGTTATATGTAACGTATAGCGCGATTAAAGATAAGATCATCTTAACTCATTCTATTTTAAACTGAACTAGGATTTTAACAGGCCTTATAGTCACTAAATAGCGACCTCTGCAGGACAGACACATTCACAGCGCCAGTTCATCACCTAGAAAATGCAACAAAAAAAAAACGAAATAAACTATAAATAACATTAATTTTAAGGCCTGATTTTAAGGCCTAATTCACAAAACAAACTATGATCAGGTCCCACTTCACGAGAGTGGATCACTAATAAGAGTGATCAGCCCGGCTTCTGTCCCCCTCACTTCTCTGTGTTCATCCCTTCTTTTTCATTCCTCCTTCCTCCATCCCTCCATTCCAGCTCATCTGAGCGTTTCTAAACCTCCTGATATCTGTTGTCCCCAAAACATCTTATTTACCTCTTCCTAGTGTTCCTTAATTCCCTCTTTTCTTTTTCTTCTTTCTCTTTCTTTCTCTCATTGCCTTCTTTCATTTTTCCTTTCTTTCTTTTCCTTCCTTTTTTCTTCCATTCACTGTAAAAAATGCAGCTTTGAGTTCATAGAACTTGTAATATCAAATTTGTTTTACATTTGATTCAATAAACTCAATGTTTGAAGTTACCCTGGTTACTTTTTTAAGTTTAACAGCGTTCTCTCTCTCTTTTTCTTCCTTCCTTTCATCTATTTTTTCTTATTTCCTTCCTTCTTTCCTTTTCCTTAGGAGAAAAACAAGGTACAGGAAAAATTTAGGATACATTTTTTCAGTTCATAAACTCTGTAAAAATGATGCTGTTTTTTCACTTAAAAAAGTAACAATGTTACCTTGACATGTTCAGTTCATTGAACTTGTAACATTAAGTTGACAGAAGAGTAATTTGTGTTTTACAATGTTTAACTTATTATTTGAAGTTCTATGAACTCAGCATTTCAAGTTAACCTGGTTACTGACTGTTACAGTGTTTTTCCATTTTAAACTGAATAGGCATCTCAGTGTGGCTTCACAGTCTTAACAGGCCTTACTGTAACTAAATAGCGGCACCTGCAGGACAGACGCACTCACAACACCTGTTCATCAGAATCAGTAACGGAACCCATATGGAAAAAAATACATATTCCAAATGTATATATCAAATATATTTTTGCATGTGTGAAAATATAATAATAATAATAATAATAATAATAATAATGCATTTATCTGTATGTGTTATTATCTGTGTTCAGTTGAGTGTAATGAAGGTTCCAGATGTAACTAAACGTTCTTCTGTGATCTGCACTGTACTTTACATTAACCATGTACGTCTGCAGTCAGACTCTCACACACAATGTATTTCACATAAACAAGATATCAGATCATAACTGCATTTTCACAGAGTATCAATACCCACAACACTCGCTTCTGTCCTGATAAAGGATCATTAGATCAGATTTAAAATGAAGATACTGGAACACAAATTCATCTCTAAAGGTATCAGACGGTGAAGAGCATCAGACAGGATTCTGGATATTTTCATACATTTTCAGATGGATTTGATAAAAACATTTACATAGTTATTTTTGTACAATTCTGTGTGTAATGTGGACTGTTTTCCTCATGGTGCACTCTTTAAAAAGATGGTTCTTCAAGGATTCTTTAGTAAACAAAATGGTTCAATACAGAACCATGAACACTCAAAGAACCCTTTGCATCGTGAAAGCGTTCCTAAGAATGTGCTGTAGATGGTTCTATATAGAACCATTTTGAAAAAAGGGGTCTGCTATTGTTAAGATGTCAAGCTTGTAACAATAGAAGAACCGTATTGGGTGCTATATAGAACCCTTTTCAAAAACAGTTCTATATAGAACCATATGTAGCACATTCTCCATCGGTCTGAGGAAACACTTTCACAATGCAAAAATACATTTAATGATGTAAAGAGCTCTTTGAGTGCGTAGAGGAGAGCAGACACAACAACACGTTTAGTTTTGTGTGAAATAATTGTAAAAATATTAAAGTTGCAATAATCATGTTTTTATACAAGCAACATAAACATCTCTGCTACAAACCAACACTTGACCTTTGTTTGTAGCTCCTACTGTCCAGTACAACTCCACCCAAAATGAGGGAAGTGCAGTGTTCCAGTTTAGCCCATGGGTGGGTTCACTGTAACAGACAGAGGGTCAGTTTAACACCTGCTAGAAACATCTGATCAATCAGTGCAAACAGAGTATAATTCAAAATGATTCTGTGTTATAAGAAATACATTTTCCAGCTGTTCTGAATTATAAATT